AAGTTGTTGGTTAGTCTATGGTAATTAGAATCGTTACCCCTCGACTAAAGTCTTTATTGGAGACCGGAAAAATAAAATCTTAAAATAATTTAGATAAATAAAATTTATTTTTTGATAACGACAAATTAATCAGAGTAGGCGGTCGTTTTGAATATTCACTAAATTTTGATTATGATAAAAATCATCCCATATTAATATCTGGTAAACATAAACTGACCACTTTTTTTCTAACTTAAAACAGGACATTGCCTTACAATGAAAGTGAACATAAATTTTTAATTTTCTTTATTGCGAAAAGATTAAAAAAATCATCAGTTCACTATTTTTTTTTAAATAAGATTGGTATGTTCTTAAATATATTTATATTTTTCAGAGAAACAAATTTGTTTTAATAAATAAGATGACGATTTAAAATAAGAATAATAATTTAAATAATAATTTCTATCACGTTGTATGTTACCTTTGTTATCAGCATTGCCTTCAGAACATTATAACATACATTAAACGTGATACCTGAACCAATCACAGTAATCTAAATGTAACTTTTTCTTTTAAACTTGCAAAAAATAATTGGATCATTCTTACTCTAATTATACACCAGTGAAAACCTACGAGTTGTTTGGAATTTAATACCCGAATCTTCAACACTTTCATAAATATATCTCAACATACATACAATTAATTCACATTATTTTGTTAGCTAAATTCTCCCAGCTTAAGCTAATATCTCAATATTTTGCAGTATCGAATTTCGCCGGTCTATATGACTTCGTGGCGCAGTTGCCAAGGTATTGGCTTCGACGTCGGGGGTCGTGGGTTCGAATCCCACACGGGACAACTATTTGTCTGACCCATAGATAGTTGTTTCGCATCTGGGTGTTTGTCTGCGTATCCTAAAGTAAGGGCAATGAATAGAAAAAAGATGTTATACAAATAATGAATTTTTAAACTCTTAAATTACATAGAATACAGATTCGAGTCGATCCATTAACATATAATGCATTTCTTCGATAATACTTTTTATATTGTAAAAAATGATAGTTCTAGAATACGCTAAATATTTATAAAATTGAATAAATTACATTTGACATAAGCACAATTTATTTTCATTATCAATTGGTTAATCGGTTCAATGGAAGTATAGGCTAATTATTGTTATTATTTGATTATTATTATTTTTATATAAATTTAAACTTAGAATCTTTAATGAAATGACTTAATCGCATATTTTTTTCGTAATATTGACTTATTTATATTTGCATGCTATTTATAAGTGGAATTAAAAATAATTATAATTATACCATCATAAATTGTACCTTGTAATATACTTATATTTCTTTTTGCTAATCTCTGCATTTAAGATGAAACATTAAAATTTGTAAATTTTTTCGAGAAATATTTGCTGACATTCTAGTTCAACAACTAAGTCGGTTTTCTCTTTCTCGATAGTTGCAGAGTCATTATTAAGGAAAAAAGTTTTAGAATGTAAAGAAAACTTTAAATTTACTAATGGACTCAAGAAAGATATTGCCAAAACTTTTAAATCTCTAGCTAGATGTTAAAAGAACTGCCGATCTATGGGAGGTCGATCTCCGTCAAGGTGATTCGAAAGTCAAAAGTCACGTCAAAATTTCTTTTTCAACATAAGCTTATATATATATATATATATTATTTTAGTATAATTTAGCAGGAGCCTGGGGACTCGCAAGTGCAGAGCAAGAGTCATATCCAAGATTGAGAGGTAGGATGTTGTCATCAATAAAGATTCCTGGTTTGTGAGACAGCTTTGATAAAGTAAATCTGATACATTTAGTCTAAGTGGCGTTCAAAAGTAAATTATTGGTCGCAAACCAGCCCGACACGACTACTAAGTGTATGTAATACTAAGTGTATTACATTTGGTTGCTCTAATGTAACATCTTTCCTATTAACCTTAAATGGCAGTGAAGTGCCATCCGCAAACAAAACGATTTGAGACCTTTTTTCAACCACATATTATGGCAAATCATTTATGTAGACTAAAAACAGAAATGGGCCCAGGATCAATCCCTGAGGAACACCCATTTGTACTATTGACCAAGATGACAGTATACCACTTATAGTTAGTTTTTGTTCTCTATCTTTAAGATATGACGAAACAAAATCAACGGTAGATTTTCGAATACCATAATATACCAATTTCCTAATAAGAATATTTTGATCTACGCAGTCAAATACCTTGGAGAGGTCACAGAACACACCAATGGTGTCATGGAACGTTTCGCAAGACTGCAGGATATGCGAAATTAATTCTAATCCAGCATCTGTTGTAGATCTACCTTTCGTAAATCCGAACTGATGCTGGTTCAAAATTTCATATTTATTCTAATGAATTAGCATCTAATCCAGCTTTATTTTCTCAAATATTTTACTTAAGGCTGGTAAGATAGAAATGGGAGAGGCATTTTCTCTTGAGCCTGATTTATAAACTGGCACAACTTTGCTATATTTCATTAATTTTGGAAATTTGCAAGAATCTAAACATGAATTAAATATTTGGGCTAATAAACAAGCAATATCACAGATTATAAGATCTAATGCCCATATTGTTGTTCAGTTATAGGTCTTCAGTTTTCTTTTTATTAAAATTTTTAAAAATTAATTTTATTAATATCATTCTGACCTATGTGGCAAAACTTAAAATCTGGAATGGAATTATTAACATATTTATCCAGATATGTTGCTGCCTATGTGGGACAGTGTTGCAAATACCTAGTAGTTTCAATAAGTTATATTTGTGAAAACATTTAGAACCTCATTTGCAACTTTATAATTTTCTTTTATAACTTTGCCATTTACATTTAATGTAAAATCCACTTTTTTTCATTATTTTTACCACTTACCTTATTTATCACATTCCAAGTAGTTTAACTTTGTTTGCGGACAGTTTTATTTCATTGCTCAAGTAGTCTGCCTTAATTATAATACAGAACCTTTTAAACATTTTTGAATAATTCCTAACATATTCATGGAGGTTAGGATCACAAGTTAATGATTTAATACTGTAAGGATCATAAAGTCTATCCCTGCTCTTTCTTATTCTCTTAGTCGCCCATTCACTGAACGAAAGTTTATTGCCTATTTTTATTGTTTTTTTTTCGCAGACTTATTAAATTCTCTGCTAATCTTACTAGAAAGGGTATTGAAATCACCATCGGGATCATTAGGGGTTAATGTTAACAAGGACCGTTTATACTTAATACCACCCCTTAATTTCTTAATTCTGTTTTTAGTTACAAATGATTTGATTAATAATTTTACAATTTACCCTTACAATATTATCTATGCATGAGGCACAGGATGGGGTTACTCTTGTTGGTTCATTGAAGATGCAATTAAGATTAGTTTCAAGAAGTGTTAGGAATCTTACTTTATCCGGTGAATCTGTTAATAAATCAATGTTGAAATCACCACAGAAGACTCTTTGCTTTTTCATTTTAAATATTTTAATTAATACATCTTCAATGATTAACAAGCAATTCAAAAGGTCTTATGAGGTAGGTCTTTATATACACATAATATTAAATATCCTTCTGTCTCCGCATAGGCAATCTCATCTTGTCGTTCAACAGAGTATGCAACAATATCACTTCTTTCTTTCAGTTTCAAATTGTTTTATGTAGGATAAGGCATCCCCCTAACATAGCAGTCACTCTGTTGAACTTAATGGCTACTGACTATTTTTTAACACTAAATGTCATATCATTGAGCCATGTCTGAGTAAAGCACAACATATCCACATTATACTTATCAATTAAAAGTTCTACATCAAGGATCTTGCCAGAGAAACGGTTTATATTTCGATATAGCAAACTAATAGTTCGAATGTTTTGTTCCCCTTTTGTCAGCCTTACAGTACTAAAAAGTGTTAGCTTCAGTATTAATAGACAATCTATTTAATATTGGATTGTCATTATTTATATTGTATGCTAATAAAGATGCTATCTTGTGCTATAGTATGTATTATATCTAGTTGGCAGATACACGGTATCTTGAGTCATAGTAAGGAGATTAATAAATTTCTTTTTAATTAGTTCTATTACATATTCTATTAATATTGATAGAACAATAAAAAAATGAAATATTAAATTTATAACTCACATGATTATCATAATATTACTCACGTGAAACATGTAGAAACTGATATGGGGAAACGCTAGACCCTATTGACTCGACATTATTCCTTGGAATAACTATAGATACTGATCTGCAATGGAGACCCATAGCTGGCGAGTAGCTCAGCAGCCTTCGCTGTTAAAAAAATAAGACAGCTGACTGATGTAGATACGACTCGTTTGGTATATTTAAGTTATTTCCACTGTATAATATCTTACAATCATTACTTGCCTAAAATGCTCCATATATTTTAATTTTTATACGTTATAATTAAAAAAATATAATTATTTGCAGGAAATTGCACAGTCTGAGGGAATAATTAAATAGCGACGATTTATACATTTATTTATTTAACAGTTTTTTATATAATATCATAATTCTAATATAATATACATTTCACAACTCAACAGAACAAAATTTTAAATTGCTTTACAAAATAATAATAAAAACAAAGTTTATGACAAACAAACGTGGTTCTGCAACATTTTTTATATTGTAGTATTACTAGGAAGTATACCCAATTTGACATTATCATTCTATCCAATCAGTTGTATTCTACGAAACGAGTATGTACAAATTATAACTTTACATCCTAACTTCCTTCCTATTTACATCCTAACTTACTTAGACCTCTGTACAAGTTGTATAAGTTAACATCGGTCCTGTTTTATGTCCTAATAAATTATTTCAAATTACATTAATTCACAAGATTAAGTAAAGTCCAAAAATACGTCTTATATTAACGAAATTACTCTTTAATCAGAAATAAATCGAAAGGCCATAAAACACTGTATGCTAACGCACAATGTAATATTACACGTTAGCACAGTAGGGGCCTGACGCTAGTAGCGTAAGCAGTGGTCGTGGTGCATGGCGTGGTGCAGCGGAGCGGCGTTCTCCTTGTCGCGCGTATAATGCGGTGGCGCATGCGTGGCGTGCGTGGCGTGGGTGCCGTGCGAAGCGTGGGTGGCGTGCGTCACGTGCGTGGGGTGCGCGGTGTGGCCGGCGTGGGCGCCGTGCGCCGCGTGCGCTGCGTGCTGCGTGTGTGTGACGGTGGGCGTGGCGTGCTGCGGCTGCGGCTGCGGCGCATACTCGGGGGGCATCGGCGGCGGCTCGTACTCGTCGCCCGAGCCGTCGGACGCCTCCAGGTAGCCGAAGAGGCGCGCCGCTCCGGCCGCGCGCTGCTCGCGGCGCCGCACCACGGCCGGGCCGCCGCCGGGCCCCGGCCCAGCGCCCGCGGCCGCCCCCGAGGGGCCTCCGCCGCCCGCGCCGCCCCCGCCGCCACCGCCGCCTCCGCCGCCGCCCCCTCCACCGGCACCGCTGCCCGGAACCGCCGCGACACCCGTGCTGCCCGAGAATCCAACCGCACGTCCGACGCCAGAAGGCACCTTCAAGTTGCGGTTCTCGATGTGGCTGTAACCGTTATCAAAACGCATGGACACAATGACAATGAATTGGATTGTAACGCTATTCAATATTATATGCCACTTATCCAGTATGAAAAGCAAAGTGATAAAAGACTCGTGGTCTGTACTAACTGTGCGTCGCGCAGGTGCAGTGCGAGCTGGTGCTGGTCGTCAGCGAGGAACGGGCACTTTGCGCAAGCCTTCTTGTTGTGCACCTTATGCACGTGCGTGGCGAGTCGCTCGGCGCGCGCCGCCTTGTACTCGCAGAGCGCGCATGCGAACGGCTTCAGGTGCGTGTTGAGGTGACGCTTCAGGCACCAGTTGTCCACACCAGACCACGCGCAATAGCAGCACGCGTAGCGGCGCTCCCCCTGTTCAACATATCATAACGAAATTTAAAAGACGGTAAACATACCTCAATGTAATAGTAATTGTTAACGGTAATGTTGCCAGTGAAGGCAAGCCCCACACATAATTATTATAGTGTATCTGTCGATAGTACATAGGTACTGTTTACACTATAATAGGCACGTTGGCTGGGTCACAATCGCCTCACCTTGCGACGTACCGGGGAGGATGTGGTAGGCTTGTGTGAAGAAGAGGGCGCAGCCGTGGACTCGGTTTTGGCGAGCGGTGAGCGCTCCACCTTGATGGGCGGTGCGCGGCACTCGAGGGCGGGGGCGGGCGCGGCGAGCATCGCCGCGGCCGCTTCGCCGACGGCCTTGGTGCAGTAGTGGGCGCCGACCGTGCCGCCCGCGCCCCCCGCCACCGCCACCGCCGGCGCCCCCACGGCCGCCACCACGCCAGGTCCAGCCGCCGCCGCCGACGCCGCCGGCTTGCCTCCGCCCGACCGCCTGATGCGATTCAGGTCGTACGGCTGGTCGCGGTGCATCCGCAGAAAATGTTTTTTTACGTGGTCTGCACGGTTGAACTGTTTCTGACAGAGGTAACAGTGAAAGGGTTTTTCATCCCGATGAATGTTCTCGTGGCGGGTGAATAGGTCACGACGGTCGGTTGCGTATGGACACGCAGTACATGCATAGCGTTTGCCAGCCTCGCCTCCCACTCCGTTAACTTCGGTCGTCGCAGCATCTACCACCTGGCTCTGCGTGCTACCACTCGCGCTGGTAGCGGGTACCGTGCGCCGTTCCGTACGAGCCGCTTCCACCTGTTAATGAATTTTTCAGCTCAAAAAGTGTCCATTGCTTGATTCCCCACCTTTCATCCGAAGGTAAGTATCTTAGACCGACAGTTATCTTAGACGGTAAACGTACTACATCAGTAACGAGCTATAGTACCTTGCTCTTAAGTCGTTGGAGATATCTGGTGAGATCGTCGAGGGCAGGGTTGTCACGCAGTAGGTGGTCGGCGGCGGTGGGGTCTGAGTGGTGGTCGCGAGCGAGATGCTGGCGCACGGCGCGCGCCCAGCCGCTCGCGAAGCCGCAGCCGGCGAGCGGGCACTGGAAGGCGCGCGCTTGCGAGTGGGTGCCCAGCCAATGCTCGGCGACCCGCGCCAGGAACCCGACACATTCGCAGTCGGTGCACTTGAATAGCCTCTGGGCTGGGTTATAAGCAGCGACGCGGGAATGCGCCCACGCAAGGGGCTCCTCCGCCGCCGTCCAGCGATCCTCCGCGGAGGGATCGGTGCGCGGCGTAAAATTCGCCTGCGAACATCGACTCGCTGTAGGACTGGCGTGACGGTCATTGCACAGACGAAACGTTGGTTTTTTATACAGCAATACCTGCAATATGCCCGGAGGCGGGAAACCGTTCTGCATGAGAGCGGCGAGGCCCCAGGCCGTGATGTGCTCCTCAGGGCGCAGGTCGTCGTGGTGCATGTCGCGCTCCGCGGCCGGGAACTCCACCCCCACCACGCCGCCCACACCCACGCTCACGCCAACCGTGGCCTCTTCGCCGTACAGTTTCTTGGTGATCTCCTTGAACATGTCCTCGCAATCCATGGTGAGAGACGCCACGCTGCCCACGCCGCCTCCGCCCTCCATTTTACCTTTGCACTAAATTGCCTCCTATTGTGCTCTGTGAAATTATATTCGTAAATTTATGCACTGTGTGATGGGCAACTATTACATTGCAATTGGGGAAATTCGAATATACCTCGTTGGATTTCACGACAAGCGAAAACCTACTCGTTTGTATAACTGAGAGATATGTCAAAGATGCATGATAAATGATTGTGTGTATCGCCAAAATCATATCTGCTAATTCTAAAGCAACAAGTTCGCAAGAGTTTAGTTCTACTTTAAAAAGAAGCGGAATCGAAAGTGATCCAATTATGAGGAGATAATCGGTGGTTCTAGGTAAGAGTGTAAGCATGTGGGGTGATGGTGTCGCATGCGGTGGGGTCGCGTTTGGTGGTGCGCTGCGGGCGCACGGGAGCCGCCGGGCGAGGGTGCGATCCAACGAGATAGGTTCGAGAGCGGGCCGGCACGGGCCCCTTCCCACCCCGGTGCACCGCCCGCTGCAGCCTGCAGCCGCACCTGCTCGGCGCCGCCGGCGGCCGCCTACTGGGCGCGAGGCGGCGGCGATCGATCGTGAGGGGGCGTCGCCACCCCGCACCACCACCCCGCCGCGGCCCCGCGCCACCCCGCGCCACCCCGCGCCACCCCGCACCCCCCGCCACGTCCCGACGCTCTCTCGCCCATCGATCCGCTCCTGTCGCTTCGCTTCTGCGTTCTACACACCAGCGCCCGTTGCTCCGTCGCAATCTCAAAATTGGATGGAAACTTTCTTTTTAACTTAGTTAACGATTTTTTCCCTTTACCGTTTATAATACAGTAATTTCTCGAGAAATGCGAGTTTAATTCGCAGATTCCCAATGTTGCGCTCCTAGAGCGGGTGGTGCCCGCCGCTCTGCGCCCTCCCGCGACCTCCCACGACCTCCCGCGACCTCCAACAAGCCACCCGTGATTCATCTAATCGCGGCCGTCGCATGAAACTCTTGCCTATTCATTCATTAAAATATATATTCAATGCAATAATTTATTTCCGTGTACAAATGTAGTACATATTTTCACAAAATTCTTTTCAAAGGTACTGTTGCTAATCTTCCTTCTGTGCGGTCTAAGTACATTATCATGGCACCATAAAAAAACCTCTTTATGGAGCAGAGCTAGTAGCAGGCATTATATATTAAGATCATCCTGTAGGGTATTTTAATGATTGCAGAGAGACATCAGCATCCTTAAAATATTGAAGTGATTCCAGTTCAATAGAGGTTTTAACTTGTAACTGATTAAATACTTTTATTTTTAGTGTAAATGGCTTCGCTATAATTTTCTTGTTTTTTTATGCAATCGATTTATTTTAGCTAATTACAGTAACCTCTCGAAAAAAATCTAAGCTAGTCGGCGTACTCGCAGAGTGGTTAGTAACGGTATATCAAAGTGTGAAAGAATGGGCAATAGCGTATCACACAAGTCGCCATTTAGAGGTCGTGATCGATGGCAAGCAATCAAATTCTTTTATAGTATTTTCAAGTATTCCCCAGGACTCAATTTTAGGACCATTGTTTTTTAACAGTTTTATAAACGACATTGTTAGTGTTATAAAACACAGTAAAGCCTATCTTTTCGCGGACGATCTTAAGTTGCTGAGAAAAATTACAAGTGCCTCGGACGCTAAGCATCTGCAAGACGACCTAGACAACATTTAAAATTGGTGCATAGCCAAAAAATGGCGTTGAATATTTCTAAGTGCTCCCACATCAAGTTTACCAAGGAAACGAAATACATTAGAAACGGAGTAATTTATTAGCGGCAATAAAGTACAGGAGGTCAGCACTACCAGTGATCTCGGCGTCTTGATGGACAGCGAGCTTAGGTTTACCGACCATATAAATAAAATAATTTTGAGATGCTCTAAAAAATTTAAAAAACTTAAGACTTCAATTTTATTGTATAATTGTTATGTCAGAAGCAAACTGGACTATTGTAGTACAGTATGGTATCCAACATCCAAAGTGCATACGTAAAGAATAGAAAAGATACAAAAAAAATTATTTGTACTTTGACGTATCGTTACCCTACTCCGCAGTCCGTGAAAACTTACAACGACAAACTGAAGCACTTTCGGCTTCAACAACTATCTTCCTGACGAACTCAATCTGACTTTCTATTTTTTTCATAAACTTTTAAATGGTGATATTCAAAGTCAAAGTCAAAGTATATTTATTCAATATAGGCCTAACTTAAGCTCTTATTGAACGTCAACAAAAAATTTACCACCGGTTCACTAAACTAGACCTGCACAGAGAAGAACCGGCAAGAAACTCTGGGGTCTTGTTCTTTTTGTTATTATTATTTTTTTATTGATTGTCCCGTGAAAGTTTCGGTATAATGTATACATCATAGAATACCACGACATCCTTGCAATTTACTTAAAGTAGTACTGTGCAGAACTAATTTAGGCCGCGATTCACCCGTAGTTCGCATATCTCGCCTCTATAATGAACAAACTAAAAAAGTGCCAGGCATAGATGTACACCGTCACAGTCTTGCAAAATTTAAGACGTTATTAAAAACTGGACATTGCTTTTTGTTGACATTCTATTTGATCATATTATGTATTTTATTGTAAATGAACAGTTTTGTTTTTTAATATTTATCTTAATTTATGTTATGACTAGCTGATGCCCGCGACTATGTCCGCGTGGAATAGGGTGAAAGCGAAAAATTCAGACATAATAAAAATGTAACTTGTCTTTCATGACTTTCTTTGTCTGTACATGAAAGACATTTGAGAAAAACTATTATTTAAAGTTCCACCTTTATGAGCGCAATCGTACCCAAAACAATGGTTGTAAAAATTGTTGTCTGTGTATCTGTGCTTTTGTGCGCGCTAATCTCAGAAACGGCTTAACCGATTAAAAAAGTTATATCAACTTAAAAAAAAGTAATAGCTACAGTTGAATTAGATGAACTATAGTTAACTATAATTATATTATGGTCTGTAAAATGATGATGATTGTTAGATTATATAGATTTAAAAACCAGCCGAGTGCAAGTCGCAATCGTGCACGAAAGTTTCCATACCATAATCTATAAAAACCCCACTTAAAAAAATATTCTGAAGAAAAGTTACGTTTATATGAAGTTGTAAATGGAACCCGCCATTGCACAATTTTACACCGATATTGCGCGGGATTCTATATGCAGAAAGGCCACTGGCAGTAAGCGAACTTAAAACTCAACCGGCTAATTTGTCCGGCAACCTGAATTATCCTGATAACGGAGTCCGCCCGTTAACTGTAAACCGTAACTTGTGTTTTGAGGCCAGAGATAAGAACGTTTCTGTGAGGCATTTATTTCTTCGCTTTAGTCCCCTGAGTAATGAGAGGAAAGGTTTTGAAAATCTCCAGAGAAAACAACTGTGACGTTCCATATTGGCCTTTCATCTCGGTGTATGTAGTGTTCTGTCAACGGCCTTTACGGGTGCTCAGTCAAAATTCACTCTCAGTTTACTTTTTTACTTTACTTTAATGTCTATTGTTAATAACCTATCGCGTCTATGGCGAAATGAGTATCAGCACAAGTCGTGTTTGGTTTTAATGACGTTGTTGAGATCCGATCGTTCTCATTCTTTTTAATTCTATCGAGGCATTTTTTGTAATAAATACTATAAAAAGTCGAAATAATATCCGAATATCCTTTTTTTTTGTTTACGTGGGGAAAATGCCTACGCATACCTACCCTCGCGGGGGCGAGAGCGGGTTATGTCGGACTCGCAACGACTAAACCCCCACGATATTCCACCTAGGCCCATATCGGCAGGGCCACGGGAACGCTTTCGCACACTTCCACGACCCTGCCAGCGCTGGCCGCCTCAGCAGCCCCCTCCCGGGGAGTAACCCTCTCTCCTCCAGGCAAGGCGCGCTGGAATATTCATGGTTCCTTCCTACTCGGCCCCTTTTTCATAGCCGACGAACTCCCCCGAGTTCGCTGACCAGAGGCCATGGGAGCCAGGAGAGCTCGTGCCAAAAAGCAGCAAGCCTCCCAGCCACCAGCGGCGAACCTGGTCTGTGGCTCCGCTGCTCATCACGTTTCGGTCGCGGAGGATAGGGAGAACGGCGCACCGCAATATCGACACTCCTCTCCAACCGCGACTCTCTCCCACCACCACCGCATCAGCATTACAGAGGGTATCAGGGCATAGTCCACCACGCGGCCCCACTGCAGATTGGCGGACTTACTTCACATACTTTAAAAAATTTTTTTTTCGTTATTATTTCGAAAACATGCAGGTTTCCTCACGATGTTTTCCTTCATTGTTGAGCACGTCATAAGTCAGTACTTAAAATTAAAAATTTCACTGGTGCCGGCACCGGGAATCGAACTCAGGTTGCTCGAGTATATTGAATTAGAAGGGAGCGCCTAGACAATGAGATAACTCACGGACTCAACTCACGGTCACGGACATCCGTATACCGAGCAAAACTAAAATCGAACCTATTGTATATATCTCAATGAAGAAATTCGCATTGTTATTATTAAAATGCAAATGGTCGGCGCTTGTCCCATAGGTAGCTTGTGAAAATATGTATATAGCGCATTTTAGGAATTTAACAACGCCATCTAGTTTTCAGGGGAACTATGTTCTTATCGTAACTTACCTATGATGGACTGTAATTGTATCAATTGAAGATATTGTTATATCAAACTGTTTTTTACATGAAACTGAAAATTCAAGTTATCGTGATTAAAATTTTATCACTGAGAGCACATTTTTTATGGAACGTATTTTTTTTTTGTATTGGGAGCTATGTCATTTGAAAAAATTAAAAACTGATCCAATTAATCCAGTAGTTAATAACGTGTATTTCTGTTTAAGTAAACTAATTACGATCAAACGATACTTAAATATTGCGAAGAAGTTGTATTGTCACCATGTCAAATACCCCGTTAAAATCGATCCTATGGTTTGTGAATATTCACATTTTTTCGGCTTTCATTTTAAGAGCTTTTATTTTAGTGAACTAATTGCAATAAAAAAAAGCTTTAATGTTGCACAGAATTAATCTTGAATACTTACAAAAACACCATACAAATTAGTACAGTAGTTAATTAGTTAGGATAACTGTTTGCGACTGCACTGCTTTAATCTTAAAACTTCCATATCTCCCGCTTTAGTGAACGGATTGAGATGAAACAAAGCCTAGATATTGCCCCAAGCTGCAAGTGAAAACTGCATCAAAATCCGAGAAGTAGTTTTCAAGTTTATCGCTAACAGACAGACAGACAAAAAGTCCAAAAATGGTTTTTATGTTTCCTATAAACCTTTTTAAGATATCCTTTTTCATTTTTACATAAATATATTCAATGTGGAGACACGCCGATTCTAGTATAGAATTTCTTTTATTATAGTATAGAAGCTTAATCCATTATGTAATTTAGTTTTTGTTTATAAATATTATTTTACTATTGATTTATATTTTTTGGCATTCACTGTTATTTTGTGCAATCACAGAAAATTTAGAAAATGTGACATGAACTGTTTTGTAATTAAAAATAATAATTAATAATCCATAATTTATTCTAATTTGACATTATTTTAAATGTGCTATTTTTATTTATGGTTATCATTTTTTCTATTTTTGTCAATTTTGTTATCAGTGTATTATTAACAAATTATTATGCATGATGTGGTTACCTGTAATTGTAAGTTACAGTTAAATATATATCTTAAACCTGTATAATTTAGACTAAAGCGACTGTTACTTGCGTTGGTAATCCAATAAATAAATAGCTTTACCACGGCAGTCCCCGAGTGCCACAGTTGTTTAATTTTTATTAATGCAGTATTTTTTTTCTTTGATATTTATTCAAGTTACACTTTTTGAGATAAGAATACATTTTTTTTCTTTTAATGAATAAATGAGAATTAAATATCGTTTAAAATACTTTTATTATACAACAATACATGTAGATTATTCAGGAATTTTTGTCATGAAACTATAGGTTTATGGTAAATGAAATAAGAAACATAAGTTTGAGACTTGATATCCTCTAAATATCATATCATCATAATTATGATAATATAATATTATAATATCATTATAGTAACCATCCGTGCGAGCTTCGTACAGCCGTACCATATACATACACGTTAAGCGAACGCTCGGCCGAGCTACATGGTAGGCGGAGTGGGGAGTGTTAGGTTTTATTTTCGTTACGAAATTTCTTGATTCGGTCGCCGCGCTCAAAGCCCGCGATAAAAGCTATGCAAAGGCTTAAAAAGGATTTCTTAAGTTAGGGTATTTCTTTAAAACAGCGAGTGAGATAGTTTGAAACAGACAAGAACACTGACTTCTATGAAATTATCAATACTATTCAGTCCAGCATTCAGAGCGAGTCGATCGAATTTATCTGTAAGTCAGTCGATACTGTGGAGGAGAAATGAAACGGTTTATTATAAAACAGAATTTTTAAATTCAATTTAGTTTTCGGGGATTCCACCGCACGTACTGCAATAAAAAAAGAGGTGTGCCAATAATTATCTTGCGAAGTATCATTAAACCAAAGCCTTGCAGTGAAAACAAAATAATTAGCAACCTCACAAAATAAATGGCGTATAATTGAAGAATAAATTGTTATTAACATATTTCCAATATCTGGAATTCCTACAGGAAACACATCGCAAACATAAGTCGACGCTCAAAATTGTAATTGCTCTTACGAATTACTTAAAGATTTTTAATCAGGTTAATGAAGTTTACTGACATAGTTATGAATTAAGGTCATCTCCTAAAGAAAATCACGGTAATCAGTTCGTCAAGTACGCTGTATAAGACGAACTTTTAAAAGATCCTCATATTAACTTTGAAGAGAGCATAATTTACATTAGTCCAGGTCAAAGCATCTGGGCGCGAATTAGAAAGACATGGGTTGACATGCTGCTTAGCTTATTAGCTGTTTGCTTTGCAGCATCTTAGCTGCTGCAAAGCAAACAGCTACTGAAATAAGCCACAATGTGTTTGCCTCGGCTGCATCTTTGAGAAGATCACGTAACCTTTTTATAGGTCTACTGCCACCAAAATTGTTCTAGCTTAAGGTTTTCTTATTATTTCATGGTGTGTAGAATAAGGAATACTCATTTATTGGGGCCACGCAACAGTGTTCACTGTTGCACGAATGGGCAGGTCCGTCCGGGTAAGTACCACGACCTCATAGAAGACCGGCGTAAAGTAGAAGTGTTACACTTCCGCGTTTCGTCTGGTGAGTTAGGTAGCCAGAGCCCACTTTATTTAAAGGTGGCAACACATCTGCAATCCTACGGGCGTTGCAAATGTCCATGGACGGCGCTTATCACTTAACATCAGGTGAATCGCTAGACCGTTTGCCCCTTTCTCACATAAAAGATATACAACACCCGCCGTTACTACTATTATTTACTTACTTACTACTTATTAAGCAGTTTGACGCAGTTTTTAACCGACTTCAAAAAAGGAGGAGGTTCTCAATTCGACTGTATTTTTTTGTGTTTGCTACCTCAGAACTTTCGACTGAGTTTACCGATCTAGATGATTCTTTTTTCAGTTGTTCACTTTTATAAGAGCTGTTCTCGACTCTGTTTGCATGCATGTCGATATTTAATGCATATCAGCGGGCTGAAGTGCATTAAATATTTGTTTTTTGAGTTTATAATAGCAAATTTATTACTGCATTAATCAATGTTTTACTTTTGAAATTCAGCAATGATTTTTGGAATTTCATAAAAACAATTCTATTTCGGCAACACCTAGAAGCGTTCCATATTTTCATAAGTCCTACATGAAGTTGATAAATTAAATAATTTCCTTTTGCTATTAAGAGGTGCGTAGTCTCAGTTTATAGATCTTCTATAAAAATACACTAGAAATTTGCTGATGGGTAGAGAACATTTAATTAAGTATAGTACTTTTAGGGCCATAATGCTGTTTTAAAGCTTTTGCATGCTTTTAAAATAATGCGTTAAATAGTAAAAGAATAATACTTGGTTTCACAATAAATTATTTATTTGAAAAATCGACTGAAAAAAAAAATTCATTTTATTTGATATCATTCACTGTTCGGGCCATACGGTGTTGGAATCAGAAATCAAAGGGGTGAAATGCTGGTCAACTTCTTGCAAATGCAGGGGCTGTTCTGTATGAACACATTTTTCAATACGAAACCCCATAGGAAGTGGACTTGGCGAAGCCCCGATGGTAGGACGAGGAACGAGATTGATTTCATCTTGATGGATAAGAAGCGCATAGTTAGGGATGTCTCTGTGGTCAATCGGTTTAATACCGGCAGCGACCACCGACTTGTACGAGGCACCTTAAATATTGACTTTAGAGTCGAGACGAGGCGTATGGTGCGGTTCGTTCTTCGTCCAACGCTGAATCAAACTGCACTGGGCTCTGAAGCGTTCCAGTTGGAACTGCACAATCGCTTCGCAATAAACCACGGCAGATGTTGACAAGGGCCTAGAAAATGTGTCCAGGGTAGTTCGCGAAGTAGGAACTTTAAAGCTAAGCGCGGCAGCCGAGAGTGTAAATTGTCGACGGGAACTCTGGAACACATGAGGATCCGACGTGAGTTGCCAGAGGGAGCTTTGTTGGACACCAAGCGTCTTAACAAAGATATCCGCAAATCGGTGAGACGTGACCTCCGAAGCTTCAATACGCAACTCATAAAAGAGGCGATTGAGCGAAATTCAAAAGTCTTTGCTTAAAGACTGGATCGGAGCCACCTGACAAAGCTCAAAACCTCGAAAGGAAAAACCGTCACATTGGTTCCAGAAATACTCGCCGAAATTGAAGACTAATTTTACCGCCGCCTCTACACGTCGCATGTTTCAAAGCCTCCGCCAGAAGCGAACGACCCAAGAGCTACACTGACATGCCACTTTACAGACGGTCTCCCAGATGTCGACAAAGGCGAAATTGAGAGGGCTCTTAAACAGCTTAAAATGGGAAGGCTCACGGTGAAGATGAAATCACTTCCGAGCTTCTAAAAGCAGGCAGAACCCCACTGCTTAGAAAGATAAAGGAGATATTTAATTCCGTCATAGCAAATGGGACTACCCCGAAGGTGAGGAGTGAGAGCGTGGTGGCTTTGTTCTTCAAGAAAGGTAAGAACTACCCTCTTGAAGAACTATAGACCAATCGCGCTCCTAGGCCACATCTACAAGCTGTTTTTGAGAGTCCTCACGAACCGTCTCGCCGCAAGATTTGACGCCTTTCAGCCACCGGAGGAGGCTGGGTTTCGAAAAGGTTTTAGGTGGGCTGGACAGCATTTGGAAATCTGCGTCATATCTTCTCATCGCCACTACCACAATGCCAAAAAAGTGTGTCCTGCCAGTCGTGACATACAGGCCCGAGACGTGGCCAGGCATACAAGCCCGTCTGCTCCAAGCTGCTCCGTTGGAGCAGACGGATTCTCGAATGTGGCCCACGTCTCGGAAAACGTAGTGTCGGACGTCCCCCTGCCAGGTGGACCGATGACCTGAGAAAGGTCGCTGGAAGTGGCTGGATGAGGAAAGCGGAAGATCGTACTCTACGGCGTGCCCTTGGGGAGGCCTATGTCCAGCAGTGGACTGCAAAAGGCTGATTGGAATATAATGTTTTTTAGTCGGTAATGTGGCACACGTAATAACACGCGAGTAAATAGCACACTGTCTGTGAAATGCAAAATAATTAACTAGCGTCGTGTAGGTACATACATACGAGTACATACAGTGTTCGGTAATTGCACACGAACGTCATCTTATCCTTTAAACGAGCAATTTATATATATATATATATATATATAATCGGAATCTCGGAAACGGCTCCAGCGATTTTCATGAAATTTAGTATGTGCGTAGATTCGGTGGCGAAAAATCGATCTAGCTAGGTTTCATTTTTAGAAAATGCCCTTTTATCCCTGTTTTCCGGGAATGAAAGATATAATTCGAATATGACGGTAAATTTCGCCGCAAGAGAAAATGTCATAATAGCTCGGGCAGTAATCGGGCGGCCCCAAAACAGACGGCCGTGGTTCGCGTCACGATCATTTACACATTTATTTTTTACTTTTTTTTCGATTCCAGATTCCTTATTTTTAATTTTTTGTCGAATTGTTATTTTGTTATTTTTTTTCCCTTTTTTTTGTTTAGTTCTTTCTTTTGTGAAAAACATCAGTTCATATTTTCTTATTATTACGTCCTCCGGGTACTTTACATTAAGTGTGCAAAATTAAGTAGATTATCAATTATCAAGAAGCTGTGGTAAATGGTATGCTTACTTCGGAGAATGATTAATAAAAATATGTTCAATTAATAAAATAATATTCGTATAAATTTACAATAATATATTCTTCATCTATAGATAAGTTCTAAAATTCACGCGAACATTCTACAGCGCCCATCTTACACTGACCTTAGACATATCAAGATGTTCATGAGGAATGTTTAAAACGTTACGTAGATGATGCTCAATGCATTCTTGCGTTCTACTTTTCTTTTGAGGAGCATATCCGAAAGGAAGTTTTTTATAATATTAACAAGTGATTCTCTGCTATATATTTCTTGATTGTTTTTCTTTGTGATGGACTAAAAGATTCAGTTCATACTGAATATTTTTTCAAATTCGAATTGACATTAAATCCCGCCAGAATCGGTAGATATCTAATCGAAACAATAAAATAATTTTTACATAAAAGATGTGAAATCAACTCGAAACATGAAAAGTGTTTAAGCCTTAATAGTAGGAGCTTAAAACAAAAAGAGCAATCGCACATCAACGGTTATGTTATCTACGGTACATTGCGAAGCGTAGGTGAGAGCGGGACGGCCTTGTGCGAGAAAGGCGAGGTGTACGCGCACGCGTCCGCCACCGCCGCCGCCGCCGAGCGGCGGGACGAAATAGCTCCGAACGATGACGAAAGTAGCACGCTGCCGTATCGAGCGGAGCGCGCCGGTGACGCGCCCGCCCGAAAATCAATACGTGTTCGGTCGATAGGCGGCGCCCGCAGCGGCTGCGTCGGCCGTGGCGGCGGAGGCGGCGGCGGCCGCGGGCGGCGCGCGCACCACGCCCGCGCTCCTTGCCTCAGTCGCGCCCCGGCCGCGGCGCGTCGCTGCGAACGCCCGCCGCCCGCCGCCCGCCGCCCGCCCGCCGCTCTCGCCGCCGCCGCAGCCGCCATGCCGCGCGCGCGCCGCCGCCAGCCGGCCGAGGCGCGCGACCTGCTCGCCGCCGCAGCCGCCTAGCCGCGGCCAGGTGAGCCAGCCGCCCGTGCGCTCCGGCGCCAGCGATCGCCCGCCTCAATGGGCGCTATAAATAAGCACGCGCCTCGCGACCCTCACCCACTACCCTCCAAACGCTGTTTATTTTCGCACCGCGCCGGCCGCGATCGCGTCGTTTCCGCGCTCCGTCCGCTCTGCGTGTGGCGCCGCGCGCGCCCGAGGCGCCCTCTGGGCCGCTTCTGCGCGGTTCGCGCGGCCGATGCGACGGCGCGGCCGCCCGTCCGCCGACCGCCTCCGCGGCCAACGTTCGCCTCTGTGCGGGTCGCGAATCAATCCTCCGCCTGCGGTCCAGCGCGGAATTCAGAACGGTTTTAGCCGGCCCGAGGCTCCTCGGGCGCGTGTCTCGGCTTCCCCCGCGAATATCGTTGCTCTCGGGGCTCCGTGACCGACATCGGCGCAGCGCGGAATGGGCCGCGCCGAGCGCCGAGCGCCGTGCCGTCGCCGGCGACGCCTTACGCCATGCAGGGAGTGAACTTGTGAATTCGTAAACGAGCCAACTAGAACAGTGCCGAGATTTGTAAGATTCGTAAATTACATTCATGAGATAGCAGAATATGAAACGTTAATGGAACCGCGCTAGTGTCATCTCAATCGTTATTATTCAATATGTAGGAGACATGATAAAGGTGGCAAACAACCTGTTTATGGAAGAGGTAACCTTTACGACAATAATTTAAGGATTGTTATGGCTTACATCTGAAGCTGGGAGCGATTTTAATTCTGACGAAACCGTTGTGTGCAGTGAGTGAAGGGTCCGAGTGCACAGGCGATTTGTGATATTTGTATAGCTCTATCTATTTATCAATTCCATCGGCCACGGTGATAGGATGGCTGGCGAGGGTCGGTGGCAAGAGCATGCCGCGCGCCGAGGCGCCGCGGCCGATGGCGCACTACTCCCCAGCGATCATGTTTGCATCACGTTGCATCTCTAAGAACAAAGGTGGTCGCTGGAGGCGACACGCCCTTTTCTATACATCAGTTACAGTGTCATTGCTTGGTGGATTTATGCTTAATTATATACTATGTGTGTTTTTGTCAAAAGTAGCGTTAAATCATCTCGGATGGCATCAATCCATCGTAGCACTGAAAATAGAAAGCAATGAAATTTCCTACCGGCTATGGAAATAATCGTAATAACAACAATTTTAATAATGGTTTACAATTTCAATATAAAGTAAATACCTAATGCCACAACTAAGTATTACGAAATAAACAAGCCGGCCCATGCGGTCAAATAGTGCTGTTGAGAGATGACGATGGTCGATGGGACATTACACCCGGTGTGCGGCGGTGTTCCAGATGTGCAGCCTGGCTGCGCTGGCGCGCGGCTGCCGCCCTGCCGGGAAGCCCTGCTGCCTCTGCTGGTGCTGCTGCTGCTCCTGTTCATGGTCAGTGCCCCGCATTCTCTTCAGCCGTGTAGTCTTCCCATCGCCCTGGCGTCGTGTCCAAGTAATCAGTATCTAACCAAGTAAACATTTAGACACAATATTTATGCTAGAGTATATAAAGTCATACTAACAGTTTCAATTATATCTTATTAGAAATATAAAAAAAGTTATGAACAGTAAATAGCAAAAGACTTTAACGGTGCTCATTCCGCTGTTGCAGGGCCAAGTGGTAAGTGCTTTGGGAGCAGCCGATGGTGCGCTCACGGCTGCTGCTGTCTCGCAGCCACGAGGGGCTCGGAAAGGCCGTGGATCAGAACTGGGAGGAATTACATGCATTGTGTATTAGGAGCGGCAGCGTCACAAACCATCTTCAAATACAAACTGTTGTTTTAAGCGTATGAATTGCAGCTAGTTATAACGAGAAACGCTAATTAAAACGTGTTTACTTTTATTCTTGTTCAAATATTAACAGCGAACAGATTCCTCTTTGATTCGTTTAACTTGGCACATATTATTGCAATTAGAAATGATTATATTTCGTATTGTACGTTTATTCGTTCGTTAAGAGCACAATTGAATGTATGTAAAGTCATGGTCACTGACTTACCGTCCTTCGAATGAGACAATTATACAATATTACGCTACAACGTACGAGTCGTGTTGAGCGTGTCATAACAAAAGCATAAAGTAGAGTGGGGCGGTGGGAGTGTGGCTCGTGTGAGCCGCCGAGCGGACTGAGGCAGGCGGCGCGTGTTGGTTGCAGCGTCGCGGAGCGCGGCTCGGAGCGAGGCCCCGGCAGGAAGTCGCGCCGCCCAGGGCCGCACGAGCCGCTCCTCGTCGACGGCGACGCGCCGTGAGTCGCCCCCTCCGTGCCTTCACCGCCCAACACCCACGCACACGCACACGCACACAAGCACACAAGCACACAAGCACGCATTGAACACACCAACCAAATCCTCAATCTCCAAAGTCCTCGATGGTCCACTCTACGAGGCTCTACTACTTTAATTATTGTTATGTACTAAAGTAAACTCGAGAAAGTCGATATTGGAAGGTGCATAATCATTGGCATATAATTATAATTCAAGATTCATTATTTTTTAGATACTATTATACAAGGTATTGCTCGTGCAGGCCTTAATGTTCCCTGTAGTTGACTATGGTGACGTGTGCTACTTTGACCTGAATGCAGATCTCCTCAATAAACTTGACCGACTTTTGAATAACTGCATTCGATTCGTTTTCAATCTCCGCAAGTATGACCATGTATCCTCTTACCGTGAACAACTTCAATGGCTACCTATACGTCAACGACGTTCCCTAAGAGCACTGACTACACTTTATTCTTTCCTGAACTCTCCTTTTACTCCGACTTACTTATCCCATCACTTTCAGTATCTATGTACAGTCAGCAACAAAAACCTTCGCTCTTCGCAAAATCGACTTCTTGAATGTCCTTCTCACCGTTCTGACTTCTGACTCTTCTTTCTTTATCCAGCCTATTCTTCTGTGGAATGCGCTTCCTCTCGAAACCAGGTTGGCTAAAAGTCGCTCTGTATTTAAAAGTCCGGGAAGTACCACAACCTCATAGAAGACCGGCGTGAAGTAGAAGTATGTATTATATTTATGCGTGTCGTCTGGGGAGTGCTGTAGCCGGGGCCCGGGTGTTGCAAATGTTCATGGGCGGCGGTTATCACGCACCATGAGCTCTGCCAGCTGAAACGGCCAGCTCGCTCTGACGAGGTGACCCTTAAAACATGAAAAAACTAGGTGACCCTTCTCAGATAAAAAAATGCTACATCTGCAGGCCGACGCTGGAGGAGATCCAGAGCTGGGGACAGTCGTTCGATCGGCTCATGCGTAGCGCAGGTCAGTGTTTCATTCATGCTCTAATGAAATTTATGTCTTGTTGCCCGTCTTGAACCTGCATGGATCATGATTTGTATAGGCACTCGGGGAATTTGATGTTTAATGTTTTAGAGTACTGCAACATTACGCAATCTAATGTTGGAGTTTTTAATTTTCTTTCGTACTGCGATGATAAGACATATCGTTCTTATTATTGTGGTCACTAAACGCCTATACAATAACCGGCCAAATGCGGGACGTACTTGCGCACGACGAGTCCCGTAATCTGTAAAAAATCTTATATTTTCTATGGGAGCCCCACTTAAATATTTTTTTATTCTGTTTTTTAGTATTTGTTGTTATAGCAGCACTAGAAATACATCATCTTTGGAAATGTAAACTGTCTAACTATCATTGTTGGCAACGGGCGGTCGCACGGACGGACAGACAGACAGACAGCGGAGTGTTAGTAATTGGACCCCGTTTTACCATTTGCGTAGGGAACCCTAAAAGTGAAGCAAGCGAGTGATGTAGTGGTTAATGAGGGAACAAAGTGAATGAATGTTCTTAGCCGGGCGCAAGGTGTTCCGAGACTTCCTGCGCGGCGAGTACTCCGAGGAGAACATAATGTTCTGGCTCGCGTGCGAGGAGCTCAAGCGGGAGACGGACCCCGACGCCATCGAGGAGAAGGCGCGCTTTATCTACGAGGACTACATCTCCATTCTCTCGCCCAAGGAGGTGAGCAGCGGCCCCACGCCGCCTTAACACCTGTACTGTACGCCCTAACGGCTACGAACGCGGCGACCAGGCCCAGGGTACTGGAAGGCATACAGAACAAAGTTCTAATCTACAAAAAAGAAAAGCCTTGGTTTTAGTGTTGTATTGTGTTAAATACAAAATTTTCAAGTATCGACCCTTCAAGATTATCAAATACACCTTAAAGAAGAAGTTATATCCTGTCATTGACCAAAATAGTCAATACTAACAAATCTTTAACAATTGCATTTAATTAGAAAGGGACTCTTTGATAAAACTTTGAATTTTGCAGGACAAATATTTTTTTTGGTTTATTTAGATAATTATCTTGGGAATTAATATAGAAAAATTCAGTTAGTAATAAATTTTTGAAATTCGTCAAATCAACATATTTCACCTCTGCTAACCCTGTTAGTTACCGTTTACCAAAACGTTGTAAAGAAAAAGTTGGGCGTCTCGTCAGGGCCTGGGACCCCGGACTAATAGGTCAGCGAAACAGAATAGTTTCATATTGAATTTTTAGACTTAATTCTGACAAAATAAGTAATTACGTCAATAAAAAAAGTATAAATAATTATATTTCTGTAAGTAAAAAAATACATTCATATATTTTTTCCTTCATTGAAAACTGCACAATCTAAGGCCAACTTGATATAAAAGTAATAAATTCCGTAAAACAATTGTATTTAACAATATGAAGTAGTTTTACGATTTACTAATTAACAAAATGTAAAGATTTTTTTACTTAAATCATACAAACAAACGTGAAAAGCTAATGATCTTTGATAATTTGTTCTGCAATCATTTTAAAAGCGTTTAAATATAAAACAGTGAAAAAAATATTTAAGTGAAAAGTAGTTTTTTGAAGACTAAAAATCTTTTATCAAATATTATCTTTTTTATCTAAGACTTTGCTTCTTAAAGTACATTTTGTAAATAGTATAAATTTACATTAGCATCAAGATATAATAATAGAGAAAATTCGAAGCGGGGTCTGCTTTGAGTTTATTTCGCGATAAATAAATAGAATTGTGACACCGGCGGCACTCGTACCGACGTAAATTGTTTGAGGCGATCATTGATAAGTGCGCTGCGACCTTGACCTCCTCCTTCAATGCGTACTTCTAAAACAGGCGCGAGTGAACACAGAGTGAATAATGTAATACGCTGCGATGCCGGATAACGGATTGCGTGTTCCGCTGAACTCGCGGCCGCCGCGGCGCGGAGACGCCCGGAGACGCTAAATTTATCTATTAGAGCCAAACACTATTTCATGGACATCATTAACTTGATACACGTTGTGTTCCGTACGTAGCAAAGCCAAATGTGATTTGGTTTTAAATTATAAAAGAGTTTTATAATACCAAAGAGTATTCCGATCAACAGGAAAAGTAAAAAAAAAAATCAATTGAGCCTTCATAGATCATTCTCCGGACTCGCTTTTAATCTCTATAATACTCATGCCACCTGAGTTCTTCCCCCGGTGCCACTTCCATTGACAGAAGGATAAAATTTTTTAGAGATTTGGGTGATATAGCAATCAAAACGGTATTTTTTTAATGTGAAAAGTTGCTAAACGAACAGACGGTTCACCTGATCGCCTGTTAAGTGAATAATGCCGCCCATGGACATCTGCTACACCCGAGGGTTGCAGATGCGTTGACAACCTTTTTGGAAATTGGGCTCCGGCCACCTCACTCACCAGACGAATCGCGAAAATATACTTCTTATTTACGCCGGTCGTGGTACTTACCCGGACGAGCCTGCCCATTCGTGCAACAGACGAGACCGAGGCTGCTCCGTGGCCCTACCACCTTTTTTCTATTGTTAGTGCCGTTTTTTCTACAAACGTAGAATAAGGCGAAAGATAAAATGTTTGAAAATATTTTTGTCTTGTTACGCCAAAGAAGTATAACTTCTAAAGGTTGTACATAAGTACACACACACTTTTTTTAACGGAAAAACAATAGTCTTCTATTAAGAAATAGAAATAAATACATGCTTTATTTAATATAGTGATTTTAGTTTTAGTTTATCGAATTTAGAGAACTTTACGAGATTTGGAATCTCTATAATTATATGTATTATTAAGACATCATATTTTTAATGAATATATTAATGATATTAACAGTCTTTGCTTGATTACGTGTAAAAAATATTTATATAAATAAGAAATAGAAATATTTATGAATTAATTGTCGGTAGTCGTTTCATTATAACTTAAACCATGTGGTTGGATTTAGAATCCCAAAACGAAGCTTTATAAATCTCAAAGCTGCTATAAGCCTCATGAGGTCTCGCCTAGTGGCCCGAATGAAAGTGAGGTCCGTCGCCGGCAGGTGTCGCTAGACTCACGCGTGCGCGAGACCGTGAACCGCAACATGGTGGAGCCCACGCCGCACACCTTCGACGAGGCGCAGCTGCAGATCTACACGCTGATGCACCGAGACTCCTACCCGCGCTTCGTCAACTCGCCCCTCTACAAGGCGCTGGCGCGAATGTCGGCCGGCTCGCCCGCCCCCGCCGCCCCGGCCGCCCCCGCCACACCCGCCGGCACAGACGCGCCGTGACGCCGGCCCGCCTCGTGCGACAAACGCGAACCCTGTCTCATTTCTCCTGTAAATAGTTTCGCTATATATTGATTATTAAACTAATGTACATAGACATTGTATATTGTGTAAGCAGAGTAGAGTGGCGCGCACGGCTACCGCCGCGGCAACTTCGCTGGTCCACCGCCGCCTGCGCCCCGCTCACTTCCCTCTCAGCAGCTCCCCTGCCTCGCACCCTCCCTCCCACTCAATACATCACATCACTACTTCCTCCCTCGACCATCGCCCATTCTCCTTTGCCCTTCATCCTTCTACTCCACAGACTACTCTCAACGCATGACGCAGAAAAGCGTCTCTAGTTAGAAGCAATAAAGGTGGACCAATTAAGTTTGCCAGTTAATCAACGAAACGAATGAAATACTGTGTATTATTGCATAATATGTCACTCTTTTATACTTCTGAAAAAGAAATTTCACTGTAGTTTAACCAAGAAAAGATTGTGACTCAATTTCGGTCTAATGAATATGTTGAATAAATAAAATTTTCATATATAATACTCGTAAATCAAATAATATGTTCTTTTACTTAAATTTTGTGTAGTGTTAATCCTATTACATGCACGGTTGATTGGAAGTAGTCGTACCAAACGTATTTCTCGAATGCCGAAAATTACCGTTGTTAAGTCGATGAAATTATTAGGAGTTTCATTAGGACATTATGCCCCTCAGCTGGCCACAGCGTAATAAAAAATATGAGTATGTATGTACATGTATAAAAAGCGTATCTGTGAAAAGTCAATCCAACACTTATCCATGTTGCAGTATCCATATTTCTCATCTTCTGAAAGGGAAATTTTGATCTATATGCATTTTCCATAATATAAAATCCGTTAAATTGTTTCATACAAAACCTGAATATCTAGTGGTCTAGTTCTTTGGACCAATTTCAACAAACAGCAACGTTGACTCGACTAAGCATATTGTGACCCGCAACACTTAACGTGTGACAGGAAGGCATGAAGGGAGAATGTACATATGTATATGGAATATTTATTTTAA